TTAAAACTATCAATTATTCAAATTGTATTATTTTTTTTGCTAATTTCTAAAATAATATCAGTCAGTGCTTGAAATAATTTTTTAGACTATCAATTACTCAAATTATATTGAAAAATACATTATTGGTTGATTTAAAAAACAAAAATGAATTTTTTGCAACATTCATATGCAAATTTCAAAAAATTATAAAATTTGCAACATTCATATGCAAATTTATTTACTAAGAAAAAAAACTAATTTATTTGATTCAAATTATTGCAACGCATCATTTGCATGCTTCTATCAGATGTGGTACGGCAGATCGCAAGAAGGAGTCCCGCAATTACAACAGCGACTTGCGTTGGATGCTGTATGGGTTGTACCAGGAGATATTCGCAAACAGTATTTGAAGGTTCCAATTAATTTAATTAACCATAATTAATTGCTAAAAAAGCATATTTATATTTATGCATAAAAAAAACAGAAAAATGTGAAAGGAAAAACATATTGAGATTATTTGAGAACATTTTTATACCTGCATTAAATTATTGAGAAATTTCAATGTATTATTATGATTTAAAAAAAAAAGAAATTGATGAAAAAAAAAAAAAGGTTTAAACGTAAAAGAATAAATTTTGCTAAAAAATATTTTAATGATTTATTTGAAATTAAATATTTTCAAAGTTTTTCTTGACTATATTTAACCATTTTTTTTTTATTTTGGTTTTCATTTAAGCATGAATTGCGTGCTGATAGATTAGAAGCTAAAGTATATTTAAAGTGGTCAGCAAATATTGGTATTAAAAATCGAGTAAAAATTGTGCTTGAAAATGGATATTCATGTAATGCACCTGCATGTTTACTTACTGCATTCTCGAATATCTTTCGCAAACTTATTTCAGCACAAGTAAATTTTAATTGAATTAATTAATATTTGTTGTACAAAATTTGTAATTATTTAAATATTTGGTCATTTCCTTTTTTAAAATATATATATATATAATTAAACTAATGAAAGTTAAATAACTTTAAATGGGTAACTATCCTAGAAAGATTATATTTAGGCAACACAGGAAACACTTTCATCGGGTAAAGAAATCACAGTTCATTTAAATGGTATGCCAAATATTACGAATGCCGGTCTCTATAATGTGGTAGCTTTCATTCAAAGTGGACAAATCAAATTTTTAGAAAGTGAATTAGAGAATGTTCTAATAGCAGCTAATGATCTTCAAGTAAGTATATTAAAGTTAACTTAATAATAAAGAATTTAGGAATTAAAATAATGCTTTTTTTAAAAAAAGAAAAAAAAAAAAGATGAAATCAAGAAAGAAACAGTTGACAAAGTCAAATGTATCAAAAATAGGCGAAACGAAGAATTGATAAGCTAATAGGTAATCAAGATAAAACCAATACAGATGGAACAAAATGACTGAATTCTGAAAATATACCTTAACAAAAAATTTTTAAATGATATAGAAAAAAAATTATAGTGATTCAATAGAGGCAAATAATCTTTTTAATAATTAAAATAAATGACAAGCAAATCTTTCTATCCAATAAAATTATAGTTATGATCAGTAGATATGATTGTGTTTGCAGTAAAAAAGTTTTCAGGTGACTTCATTGGTATCATTAATTTGTGAAGAAATGACTGAACGCATATTAGAAAATACATCACCACCAATTTCATTACTTTACTCTGCTATTGCTTGTTTACCTCCGTTTGTTTAATTAATTTTTTCATTTTAAATCATATAATCAGGTGTATATATCAATGTTTACCTGTTTATAGCTTCAAAGCTTCTAGCAGATTTTGTCATCTTTTAATAGAAAAAGAACAAGTCTAATTGCTGCACGAAATTTTGTTATAATCTTGAATGAGACAATAATATTATTCTCAAAAAAAAATTATTTTATCGTAATTTTTTTTTTATCATTAATTTTTATCTTACATTTAGACAATCACAATATCGTAATATGGTTGTTGATGGTGCAGCAATAAAATTTCATGATATTCTGGCAAGCCCAAAATTTTCAGAAGTAAAAAAAAAAAGAAAAGAAATAATTTCTTTTCTATATTTTTTTGTTTTGTTTTTGTTTGTTTTCATTATTATTTCAAAGCAATTAACTAAATGTAAAAATTTTTTTTTTTACATTTAATTAAAGAAAAAAAAAATGGAAAAGTTGCTCAAATTTAAAAGAATTAATATTCTTCTTCTTCTCTCTCTCTCTCTCTCTCTCTCTCTCTCTCTCTCTCTCTCTCCTTTTCCTTTCCTTTTTTTTTAGTTATCATTCGAATTGCTTTACGCACTTATTTCTTCACCAGTATTACAAGGACCTCAATGGGTATTAGAAATTTATGAAGCGATCATATTTTGGCTTCAAAATAATCCTGAACATATTTGTTATGCGTCAGCTCTTTTGGATAATGTTAATTTCAAGGAAATTATTCATGTGGCTGATAATGTTTGCTATTTATTTCCTTCCTATTTGCTTCATTTAATTTTTTTTTTTTTTTTTTAAAAAAAAAACTTGGGATTATAAGGATTATTAAAGAAATGGCAGATAAATTATTCAAATTAAATTTTTATAAATTCGAAAAAAAAAAAATTGTTTTTTTAAAATTTTTCTAGCGTCAAGAAATAATGAAGAAATCATTGGAGGTGCCAGATTTGGGACCAATTGTGCAACTGTTTTTAATGGATGCAGTTTATGCCAAATTTATGGTTTTCACTTGTTTTATTTTTTGAATTTTTTAACAAATATGTCAATTTCATAATATGAAAAGAAAAATTTGCAATCATTTAAATTTGTACATTGCAAATGTTTGCGAAACAAACAAAAAAAAAAAAAAAATCAATTTTATAAGTATATGATTAAAATTAAATATTAAAAATTTAGAATAAAATAGCTACCTAAAATTTAAAAATTATAGGATGGTTTGACGTCACCAGAAAATCGCAATCAACCATTATCATCGCCCATCTATACGGTGTCTGGTGCAGAAAATGCAGTTACACCAACTCCATTAAGAGGAACATTAGGATTAGCACCATCACCTCTTGGATCATATATCATTCCACCTTTTGATTCGGTATCATCTGCAACAACCAGAAGTATTAGTAATGAAACATCCGTATCAGTTAACAAAAATTGGCGTCCAGCTCAACAGCTTCCAATAGGATCTGGTAGTTGTTAACAGTTTTTAAAACAATCTTACGTAATTTACCCAACCTAGGAAAAAACTAGTGATAGTAGACGAGAACTTTGGGCTGAAATTTTAGCTCAACAATCAAAGCATGTCTAAAAGTGGACATGTAACAGGTGAAATGATTCCACTCCAAAGTAGCACTGCTCCCTCAATATTACCACCAAAAAGCTCTCGTGATTCGATTTGTACGGTAATTACAGCACATAATGATCCGGTACTCATCTACTCAAATGTTCCTATTACTACTGCTGCTGCTAGCGATGGTACTGCTGGTGCTATCGGTGGTTGTGCTATCGGTGGTGGTGCTATTGGCGATGGTGCTACTGGTAGCGGTAGGGGTGAACAGGAAAGATCAGGCGCTATCAAAAGCTCTCCAACACTAGAATCAGCTGAAATTCGAACAAGTAGCAGTCAAGAATCGGAATCAAGTTCGAAACGACGACCTAAATTTGAGCAAATCCTATTACGAACTGAACCACCAGGAAGTCGCAAAGAATTACGTAAGAAACGACAGGCACGTGAAAAAACTGACACGAAGTGATTAGAAATGATTTTTTTCATTTTTGTTTTGTTTTGTGAAAAACATTTAAATATATGAATTTAAATGCATATTTCTTGTTTAATTTTAAAATAAAAAAAAAGAAAATAATAAAATGATTAGATTGGAAAAGGTACAAGAAATTAACTTAAATAATGCTTAATTAATTTAAACATTTTCTAAACTGACAATAAATAAATTTAATAATTAAATTATTGCAAGAAAAGACAAAAGCTATTTGTTATCTAAGTGAAAACAAACAACAAAATTAATAAAAAAAAAAAGAAAAACCGATATCATTTTTAATTGATTTTTATTTTAATCTTACTTTTTGAAAATAAAATAAAAGAAAAAAAAATTTTTTTTCTTTATTAAAAAATACAAACTTAATATTAAAACAGAAAATTTGATGCTAAAAGCAAAAAGTTTAATGCCAGTTTTGACACATAATTTTATTTTACATTTACTTCAATTTTATATACTTATTATTATTATTTTTATTGAATAACAATTACGATTTAGAATTGAATTAAATTAACAATTTTTGCATTACAATTTACAATTTTGCAAAATATAAAATTCTACAGCAAAAATATTAAATTGCATTTGAATTACTGAATGAAATTATATTTTATTTAATCAAATTGTTCATTAAACTTACAATCATACAAATAACAGTTGTCTCAGAATTAAATTTAATATAATATTTCATCACATATCGTAAAGTAACTAAAAGTAATATTTTAATTTTAAGTGATAAAGCCCAAATAATTGCGCCCAAAAAATCATTATTATAATTGCATTTTTAATTTTTTCCCATTAACAATTTTGCTCTTAATTTTTTTTTTTTTTTTTCAAATTAAATACCATTTTTTATTATAACCTATCTTCGTCTTTTTTCCATCTTAAATTATATGCAAAAGATTTTGTCAAATTATTAAAAGGTGTTTAAAAATTTATTATTTAAATCTGAAATATTGATCAATTAAAATCAAAAAAAAAAAAAAAATTTACTTAAATCTCTTATTCAAATATACCAAAATTTATAGCAGAATTTTTATTTTAGCATTTAAATTTTTAAAATTGACTTCTAGTATTAGGATAAAGTGATAATAATAATGATAAGTAATACTATGCATATATTGCAAATATTTTATTGCGTATATCATAAAAAATGCATTTTTTTTTTTTTTTTTCAATTGGAAATTTTAATTAAAAGCAATTATTTATTGCCAATTTTTAATTTATCATAATTTTTAACATAATATTTTAATTTGAATTATCACTTATATCTGTTATTTGAAAACTACTCGTTTCTTGAGATTCTGAAGATTCTATTTCACACGTCCAATTTTGCGTAGTTTCTGAATTTGTATTCGTATTGCAAAGCAATTCAGTTGGATCAGGCCAAGCTTTCAGTAGTACAACACGTAAAGCGCTACGTGAAACTGATAAATCACAAATTCGTTCCCATTTTTTACCATCAAAACGTACCACTGTTTTAGTCACCGTTCTATTATAACCACCAATAGCATAAAAATAATTTCCCATTCTGCACATTGCAAAATTTGATCTTAAAAAAAAATTAAAAGAAAAGGGAATAATTTAATTCAATAATTTATGTTAGAAACAGATAAATCTTAATAAAAAACTAAACAAAAATAACTCAATTTTTTTTACTTTAATTTACAATCAGATCAATAATATTTTAAAGTAAAAATTTTGAAGCATAAAAGTTTTAAATAACTCTAATATTATCTTTTATTACAACAAAAATTTTAGCGTAATTTGAATCATCCATGTTTTTTTTTTTTTTGAATAACAAATCAACAAAATTTTTTATTTATTGTTAAGCAAAAATTGCTAATGCTTTACTAGTACTTGCAGCAGTTATAGTTTTTGTAAAAGTTTAGAGATAATTTTTGAAATATTTCAAAAAAGTTTAAACCTTGGCATTGGCATTGATTCAACGTTTACAGTATGGGCACTTCCATTTCGTAGGATTTCTGCACTGCTTAATCGATTTGTACCATCGTATCCACCAGCGATTAGTATAAAATCTGTACTTGCTGCACATGCCAGGCCTAAAAAGTATTTGAAATTTTATTATTATACTTAAAATAATAATTTTTGCACTTGTATTCAGCAATTAATTTAAAACTTTATTTTTATTTTTTGTTTACATAACACTTATAAATTTTGTTTACAGTTCTTGATTAATAATTAACTGAACCATACATCTGGCCAAATATGCTGTTAATTAAAATGTGTAGAAAAAGAAACATTTCTCAAATTTTTCTTTGCATTAAAATTTCCAGCCAGTTAGTAAGTAAATATGAATAGGAAGGACTACGATGTTAATTTAAACAATTTGTAATAATTTAATTTAAATTGATAAATTTTATTTGATAAAAATAAACTTTTCATTGCATGATTTACCGGATCTTGGTGAGCTCATATGTGCAACTTCAGTCCAAATATCCGTTTCTGGTGTATACATTTCAACCGTTTGTAATACCGTTTCACCGGTATAACCACCAGCTACGTACATTTTACCACCCATAGCACATGCTGCTGCATCTGATCGTCGTTGTGTCATATTTCTTGAATTAAATTTAAGAAATGATAATAGCAATCATTAATATTTCAATTATTTTTAAGACATTTCAACAAATTCTTTTATTAAATTATACTGATAAAAAAAGGAAAAAAAACAAATTAAATGATAAGAAAAAAATATAATAACCGAATTTTTGTCCATTGATTTCTGTTGATATCATACATTTCAGCAGTTCGAAGTCTCGATCTACCATCTGAACCACCGGCAACAATAATTGTACCATTAATTTCACATGCTGATATATAACATCTACAAAGATTTCATCCAATTTTTTTCTTTTTAAATAATATATATATATATATATTCTATCAAATATATATTAAAATAGTATGTATTAAATAAAATATATTTTCTTATTCTTCATAATATTTTTTTATGATTTATTGATTTGTTTACAAAAAAAGGATTTATGATATATAATTATAAATCAAATTGAATGAAAATGAAAAAAAAAGAAGCGAAAAATCCGTTGAAATAAAGCAGCTAAATAAGTAATTAACTATTTGAATATTTCAATTGTATTATTTTATTGCAGCAATATTACAATTATTTATTCAACCTAAAATATAATTTTAAATGTTTGCTATTCTTGCCAAATTGCTAAATTTTTTTTTTTTTTTTTTGAAAGATTATATTGAATCTTATCATAATTATATCATAATATATGATAAATTTTATCATTTTAATAGTTATACTAAAAAGTTTACCTTGCATAATTCATTGGAGCTAATTCAGACCATTCTTTTGTTTCACTATCATAACAACGTGTGCTATTAAAATATTGTGTTCCTTCAAAACCACCAATAACATATAATTTCTAAAGTTAACATTTTAAAATTGATAAATATAAATGATAAACAAATTCTATGTTATTTGAATATATACAAACGATAAAACATACTTAATAAAAACAGAATTTTATTAAACAAAAAAAAATCGTGGTAAAATTATTTTCTTCAATAAATAATTCTTTCCTCTATTAAACAAAATAACCAAATAAATATTAAATATTTAATAGTAAAATTTTTACATTATTGATAACGATACATTCATGATAAGCTATATGACGTTTATCCTCAAGTGTCTTTGCACGTTGCCATTTATTAGTATTTATATTTAATACTTCTGCGACATTTGTTGGCCCTCTTTTCTCCCAGCCTCCAATTGCTAATAATAAATCACGTGGAATTCTCGTTTCCGTATTCATTGACCAAATCATGTTTTTTTGATCATCGATAATGTTTATTTTAAAATGTGTAAGATCTTTTTTAATTTCATTCTTCTGAAAATTTTCCATAATGGTTTACTTTATCTCCTCTTTTTTTTTTTCTGATTATTAATTTAATATTAACAAGTTTTTCTTATTGTCTTTTCTCTTTTATTGCCTCCTTTTCTTAATATTCAATATTTGTCCTTTTTAATATTGATTTTTAACTTTTTAAATATTTTATATTAAATTATCTTTTTAATCAGTATTTTTTAATGCTTTTTAATATTGGTAATATACTTATATTAAATTCTGAAGTAAATGTTCAATTTAAATTTGTTTCTTTCTTTCATAAACTAATGGAATATTTTGAATGAATTTTAACAGATATTAGTGATACATTTATAAATATTTCAAATTAATGATGTCTTGTTAAAGAAAAGAAATTTTTATGAAAAATTTAGAAAAGCATAAAACTTCTTAAACTCATCGCTATATTTAATTAGAACTTGAATTAAATTTTGCTACACTGCAGAAATACTTACATCAATCATTAAAGCTCTCATTTAATCATTTTAATTATAATTTATAAATTATGATAAAATGAAAGACTTCTTCGCAAACAGTAATTATTTACCTTTTCCTACACATTTAAGTGAACAAAAACTACTGATAATAATAATCATAATAATAGTAATAGCATGAAAAAATATATAAATTCAAAACCATAATTTAAATTGATATAGAAATAAGAGAAAATTTTGTTAAACCTGTTCATCATTTAACAAACTATAACGAATGCACTTCAATAGTTGACGACAATATGGCATACGTTTTTTACGATCTATCAAAATCCATAGTTTAAGAAGAATCCAAACATCCATCTAACACACATATAGAAATGTAACAATTTTTTTTTTCTTATTTAAAAAAATTTGAATTTAAAAATTTAGCAAAAATTTGTATTTTATTAATAAACACAAAATATTTTTTACGTATTTAAAATGTGTAACATTCAATTAGTATACCTCATCGTTTACTTTCAATAAATCAGCATTCAAAATTTCAAATAAATCATTACATTTAAGACGAAAATAATCAAGGTTGTAACCGTTGTTTACAGATGAATTTACAATATACAACACATATTCAAAAGTCTGTAATAAAAGATAGTAATAATAATTTTTTTGTTCCTTATTTTTTAATAAAGAAAAGAATGGATTATTTTTTCTTGTTTTTTTTTTTCCCATTTTTTTTTCAAAAATCTTCATTTTAAATAAGACAAAAAATTATGTTTAAACTTTTTTTATTTGTTCAGGTAAATATTTGGCACACATTCGCCAAACACCAATACAATTTTCTTCATTGATACCATCAACAAAATTTTGCACAACACATCGTTTTATGCTGTCTAATTCCCAATCATTCGCCTAAAATTTGTATCTTGGAAAATTTCACAAGTTTTACAAAAAAAAAAAAAGTGACATAAAATTCAAAAAAAAGAGATATCAGTCAGATTTTGGTTCATTTATAACTGCTTCCTTTTAAAGTGCTGTAAGAGATAACTGTTAGATAATATTATCAGTAAAACTTAGCATAGAGATATTTCACATAATTTCTCAATGGTGATTAGCAAATATTTTTGTATTTGAGTTGTTTAATTTTGATTTATTGAATTTACATTTACATGAACAAATAATGTGTCAATAACATTATTTGATGACCAAGATTGTAATTATGTTTTTTTACTTCGCTTACATTGAAATGACTAAAGTGCAGTTTTTCATTATGGAAAAGTTTTTTATTTGTTTTTAGCATAAATATTACTAAAAAACTTATTGATAATAACAATCTTTTAATTAAATTTACAAATAGGTAACGAAGGAATAATGGCATTCATTATAAGAGAAATACTTTAAGGCATACCACTTTAAGAATTTGCTCCAATTGAAGCCAGTCTTTTACATTAATATTTTCATATTTCAAAGCGTAAAATATTTCTTTTATCTAAAAGCATAATAAATTAATTTCAATTTCACTCTAAATTTCTTGAGCTTTTTCAAAGGCAAAAAAATTATTAACTTAAAACTTATTGTGAAAATGCTACATTATGTAAATATATCTACTAAGAAAAGTAACGAAAATTTTAAAAAGAAAAATAAAAACAAATTACAATATCAATTGAAACTGATGTATGTATGGTATATTGTTGGGTAGTTTCATTGAAAAGCATAAATGGAATGAGATAAGGACAACGATGTTCAACAAATCGGCTATTTAATCGATATCTAAAATGAGTGGAAATTACCGTATTTTTGAATAGTACAGTATTGAGGATTATTGAGGTACTGTAAATGATACAGTAACTGCAAATTATCAGAATAATACTTAATTGGACTTTAATAAATAGTAACGTTATAAATAATCACAGACAACATCTGTATTTGTGTCATGAATAAATAACAAATGTTGCAGATTACAATAAACACTTGCTATTTATCATCAATAAATGGTAGTGCTGTAAACTACCACAAGAAGAAATGTATCAATCGCTTTAACACATTAACGAAAAACAATACAGTAAAATATTGGCAAATAATATAGAGTAGTATATTCACTACTAGCTATAATGAAGACGTAATACCAAATTTATTAGCCATTTGAATAACAATAAAAGTAATAAAAACTTTCTATTCGACTACAATGAATTAAATATATAAATATTTCTTCTCGTCGTCTTCCCTTATTTTTATTAATATAACCGAGTCTTCTTACCGATCATTATCATCAGTAATGATAACACAATCACATAATAGATCATCACTATCGCCATCACAAATATTATCTATTCCCATGTTACGGAATACATTAGCGTATGACTTGAGCGTTATACCGTAATCCTTGTCAACCATCATATAAGTCAACAGAACACAACGATAACCGCTTTTAAGGAAAAGAAAATGAAAGTTATCACTTTTTGAACACTTTTATATATGCCGTTTCTGTAGTAAATTAGATTTATGTAAATTTAAAGTCAAATACTTCTAATTATGGTACTTATGAATTGCTAATACACAAATATATGGCACCTTTTCTCTTATAGTAAGTCTATGTTATTTCCATGATACTATTTTCAAATATACCCTATAGCAAATTTATGAATTTTCTATGATGTTTATCTCAACTGTACGTATTTTATGAAATAAACCCACCTCCTACGGTATTTTGTGGAATACACCTGTGTTCTACAGTATTATACTTTTCGATATACATTTCACGTGTAATTGTTTTAGAATGCAAATAACAGGAAACATTTGTAAATGATGCTGAAATGGATGAAATCAGCGCTAATTGTGGATGATATGTAAGCAAACAAAATATATTGTACACGAGATGTATGTTTGTGACAGGGAATGGCTAATGTAGATCGGATTTTTTAAGACATAAAATGTGATGCAGTATAGATATATGTTTGAAGTATTTCAGCATTTCAAAATTTGTAAGTGTAAAAATGCTACAATTTTTAACTTAGCTTGTCATTTACGTAATCATAATGGAACTGATCTGCACTACTTCTGACAAAAGGGTCAAATGATTCAGATGGCTTAAATGTAATGATAAATGATGATAGCACCTGTATATTTTAACAGATGTAACTTTACAAAAAACAGGCCTTTTTTTCTAATTTTTATGATCGAACATTAAACATTTCAGCCAATAGTTATTACTGAAAATGAATTCATTTGTATTTCATAAATATAATTATATAGAAAATGATTTTACCCCTCATTTTGCTATTTTTTTTTTTTACCTTTTCCAATCATTTTTTTAATTTTTGATTTTAAAACTTTCATATTTTTTATTTTTAAAGCTTATTTTTTAAAACTTTTTCTAATCATTTATTTATTTAAATAACAAAAAAGAAACAACACTGAAGAAAATATTGAAGGCATTTTAAAAATTGTTTATTAAATTTGAAAAGGAATTGAGAAAAATGTTTATTAAAAAAATGTTATGTATTAATTTTGCAAACTTCATCACATCTAAAATCAATCATTAATAGTCAGTAATTATTAAAAGTTTTTTTCTTCTCATCACAAAATTCTTCTCTTAACAGTACTATCAAATTGTTAAATAATATGAATCATTTCAAACATTTTTTTTTTTTTTGCTTCGATTTAATGAATTGTTTATTAAACAAATTCCTTCCAAAGGAATCGATAATTTGTCTTTTGTTTTTCATTTTTATAAAAATGAATTTGATAAAATAAAAAAAAAAAAAGCAATAACATCAACTTTAATTAAATTTTCAAAGATTTTGAAAAACAAAAGTAACATTTGATAAAGCTATTCCTATACATCAGCTATATAGGTAGATGGATCTTTATTATTTAAAATCACTGAACAGGATGAAATGACTCGTCCGATCCGATTTCTTGCAATAGCTATATATTTACCTTCATCATCAACTGTACAATTATTGATTCGTAATATCCACCAATCATTTTTTCGATCAATATCTGTAAATAAACATTTTTTACAAATCATAAACAAGATTAGTTTTTGCAATATTTTATTTATGAATTTATCATGCAAATCATTAAAGTAAGTTATAATTTCCTAATAGAAAACAACAAAAATTTCATGCAAAGAATGTATATGCAGGATTTTAATGTTTTCAAATTTCGATTGAATTATTAAATTTAAGCTTCCTTTATCACGCGGTTTATCTTTCTCCGATAGAATTATATTTTAATCTTGAACAATTTTATGAAAGTTATAAGTGATTTCCAAATTAATTAACGTCTTTAAGAAACAATAATCAAAAATGATATAAAATTGAAATGATCACATTTACCGTTTCATACTTTCAATGTATCTGTATAAGTTAAAAATAGCTTATTAAAAAAAGCTTACTTATGCGTTGATTGCTTGTAATGCGGCGATTGCGAAAATGAAAGGTAACATAAGGTATTGGATAGCCTGACACCTGACATGCTAACTGTAGACAACCGTAAATTTCATCATATTTCAAATTTTGAAAAAATTTTGGTTCAATTCCAGCTAAATCATCATCTACAAAAAAAAAAAAAAAAAAGAAAGAAAGAAATAAGGTAAATTGAATTATTTAATAATAATTAACTAAATATAATCATTCATTTTTCTATCCCTTTGATTTATTGTAATAAAATTAAATAATTTTATACATACCATTGACATGCAATACACTAATATCAGAAGCAATTGAATTTGTTACTTCTACAACACATATAATATCGCCCGAATCTGATATATCACAGTCAAATATTTCCAAACAACAATCGAAACCTTTGCGCCAATATCGATATCGTCCACCATTTGTTATTACTTTTGTACCAATATACCAGGAAACATTCAAATCAAGATTATCTGTAATGCTTTTTCTCATTTCAACTATATTTTCATTATTTCACAAAAAAAGAAAGTATTAAGAAATTTTTATTTGTCTTTTTTTTTTCTTTATGTTTCTTAAGTATAAAAAATTTTAATTGTTTCTATGTTGTCACATTTTTATGTTTTTATCTTGAAATATTACTTTAATTAGTCTAATATTTTGGAATTGTATATTGGACTGTAGGACAAAAGAAAAAAATTTGCTTTGAGCAATATTGAATAGTTTAAATTTCATCAGTTTACCAATATGAAAAAGTATGTTGGCAAAAGTAATAGAAAAAATTATTAATAGCAAAATTTGATTTGCTATTAATTCTAATAATTTATCAATTAATCATTAAAATATTGTTGTAATGAGCTTAATATTATATGTCTAATAATCAATTATTTATGAATCAATATCTTTTATTATTTACAATTTTTCAATAATAATACAATTGTTTGTAAACAATTGTTTAAAAATTTACCAGAAGTAATTTTACCAGATAATATGATCATATCACCGGTACGTATATTCCATTCTTTCTTTAGCATATTAACTGATAAACTGTTAATAAATGAAGTTTTTGACTCCTACAAAAGCAATCTAATAAGAGTAAAAAATGCATGAAATTGTCTTAAAAGATAATCATAAAGACACTGTACGAAATATTTCTAATTTCTTTAAATAAAAGCTTCAAACTTTAAATAAAATTTTTTTTTAAAGAAAAAGGCATTGTCCTAAAATTATTGTAAACGATGAGTCATTTCATTGAAATTTTTGCTTTGCAATCTTTTTTTCACAATCTAAGTTAATTTTAAGTAGTAATTTTGACTCTTTATTGAAAGATTACTGCTTGATCTTAATATACTTGAAAATATTACAATTAATCTATATTTTTAAGTTGAAATTTAAAAGTAATTTGTAAATTTTATTACTTTTACATATAAAAATTTTTTATGCAAAATTTTTGTCTTTTTTCATTTTTACTACTCAAATGACATTAATAAATTACAAAATAAAATAGGAAATAAAGTAAATTAGAAAATTTTGTGCTTACTTACGTAAGCAATGCAAATTGTTTAAAATCAATTAGCCAATTAATTGTGTATTGAAATTTTTAATCAGTAATTAATTATCTAATGCTTCTCTTCCGACTACTTTTTTAGTAGTTTATTTGAAAAAAAACAAAACGAAAAATTGTACACTGCTTGTAAATGATGTTTTATACAAATTTCTGGTAATTTTTCCAATTTTTGTTTCAAATAATGTTGAATACATTTGTTTTGATACCATTTCCATGGCTGTTGCTTGCTTTGAAATCTGTAAATTGAGAGATCAGCACGAGAAATAATAAAATGTTAATTAAAAAATTAATTCAAATCTTGAATAATGAAAATTTAAATTTAATAAAATTTAATTGAATTTTGACCAGCAAATTGTAAGGCATTTTCTATCAATTGTCATGATACAATGATGCAATAAATGTTATAACTTTATACAACATTAATATTTATATAATACTAATACTAAAAAAAAAAAAAATTATATAAGGTAAAAAGTAATAAAATTTAAATAATTGAACAAGAAATATTAAAATTTAAATATTTGAGCAATAATTTATTGCATTTTACCATAACGGAAATGATGGCATTTGAGAGAAGCAAGAAATGATCGTCGCAGCGATCGTTTTTTAGGACACATCGTACGATGCAATTCTCATTTGCATTCAACTGAAAGAAATTATTAATTTAATTTTTCTTTTTTTTTTCTTTTTGAGATAATATAATTTTATTTATAAAAAAAAAAAAATTCAGAATATTTAAATATATGAATGAGTATTATGAATTCAATGTTACAATAATTTGCATGCATGCACTTACACGTGCATTCACGTGAAAAAAGAAATATAAATTAATTTGGCAAACAATTCTAATTTATGTAACAAGAGCAGTATAATTATATTTGATAAATAAATTTAATTACATTAAACATTAACTGATTGTAAATTGTTAAACATACGAAAATATTTATAATACTTTTTATTTGAAATCAGTTTTAATTTAAAGGTTTTAAAAAGTTGGAAGGAAGCAGAAATAAAATGAAAAAATTTCATTTTTGTTAGCAATTATTAAAATAAAAAGATAGTAAATCATTTTCAATTGCTACTTTTTTTTTCAAAGTTAGTCTATCTTTTTCATTTTTCTTCTTTTCTCTTCTTTTTCCTTTTTTCTTTTCCATTCCACTACCATTTTCACCTTTTTCTTCATCTTTTTCCATCCCATTTTCTATTAGTCTCTTTTTTTTTAGACTATTTGAAAAATGAAAATTATTTTGCATTGATGTATAATACATTGTACCTTATACAGCTGTACAAGCATGAGAACAAAGTTTCTCGCAGCTTATTTATCAATCATAGTCAAATATGGCCAGTTACTATTATTGGCCAATTATTGCTTTAATTAATCATAAGAAATGTTAGAGATTAATAAAATTTTATAA